CTGAATGAAGCGTATGAATGTGGTCTATGGTGCTAAAGCCTTTCCGGAACCCGACTTGTTCGGGAGGCTGGAAGTCATCAAACCTGCGTTCAAGACGGTTCGTGATGACCATCGAAAACAGACCCATGACCACGGTGAAGTGAGCTTCGGAGGTGTGTATGGCTTGGGAAATTTCCTCATACAGAGCCTCTACTTCATCATCGCAGTGTGTCGAGGTCGGCGCATATACCTGTATGACCTTCAGCGAATACCGGTGTTATATTCTGAGTATAAGGTACGCTACCCTGCTCGACACTCTGTCAACTTTACTCACGTTGTTGGCTCACGTTGTTCGGACGAGAAATCCGACAGCACCCTGGGATTTTTGATCTCCTTCCCGGAAGAAGAGCAAGTTGTCGGAATCCAGGACCATCGTATCCTGGCCCTCTCTTCGGATTTCAGACAGTCCCAAGATGTCTCAACGCATTTTGCTCAATTCTTCCTCCAGCTCGACAATCTTCTCATCGGTCCGCAGTGTGCGGATGTTATGTGTTGCCAGGGCCAAAGTTCGTCGGGGGTGGTAGCGGTTCATCTGCCGGGGATTCTTAGCACCCCCTGCTCCGCCGTTACCCGATCCGCTACCTAGATAAGGAATAGCGGAGCTGCCGGGGACTGGGGCCGTGTATTTAAGTTGCCGTTCATAGTGAGGGGGGGGGGGCATAATCCCCACGCTTGGCAGGCGGCTTGGGGATCGCGGTTAGGTCACCGATATATTTATGGAATTCTGCAGCCCATTCCTCGGTGTCTGGTCGCAGTTTTAGGACGTACGCGGGTCCAACAGCCTATAATGCCCACTGCTGAGCAAAGCCTCTTCTCACACGGAGAAGGTTTGAGCATTACTCAACACACTTGCTCAATGCAGGTTGGCTTTCTCAAACTTATAATTATAGCGGGTTCGAAACCTACCAACGGTAAGTACCAATGTGACTTTTTCCGATTTTTATGTACTTTCTAAGATTATCTAGACACCACTGACAAACGGTGAAGGAAAACATCGTGAGGAAACCTGGGCTTATAATATCTAAATATAAGTTTGAAATCGCCAACCTGCATTGAGTAAGCGAGCGTGATTAATGCTCAAACCTTCTTCATGTGAGAAGAGGTCTTTGGTCAGCAGTTGGCACTTATAGGCTGTGGATGATGATCAGTAATTGTATAGGTAGCGTCATCCTCGCTAATTATACTAGTAGTAGGCACTAATCTGGGCACGCTGTCACAATATTTAAAGATGAACACATTCATAAAAAAAATATTTATACTCTATGGTCATCTCACTGGCAACATCATTGTACTTCTTTGTGCACGACCTGTCACGTCGTACCCTGGAAAATTTTTCAATTTAATTTGGTGATTTTCCTACTAAATGGGTCGAAAACGTCGCAAGCAGATAGGAAAACTGATGGAGTGTATGCAGGAATTGGATAATTGGGCGAAACCGGCGAGAGGACGCATTCGTTGTCGTCAGTTTGGTAAGTTTTTTCTTGTAGGTACTTACACCACATTGTGGGGCGTTTTCCAATAGCTTCCACAAGCGGATAGCCTTGAGAATGATTGTGTACGCAACATACACACTTGAAACGTACCATAAGAGCCCTCAGGAGAGGTGAGCCATTGGTTATACGTTTTCTATATACCTAGATTAAACCACAAGAGCCTTCACGAGAGGTCGGCCGTTGGTTACACGTTTACTATAGATCGAAACCACAAGAGCCTTCACGAGAGGTTGGCCGTTGGTTACATGTTTACTATAGATTAAACCACAAGAGCCTTCACGAGAGGTTGGCCGTTGGTTACATGTTTACTATAGATCGAACCACAAGAGCCTTCACGAGAGGTTGGCCGTTGGTTACATGTTTACTGTAGATCGAACCACAAGAGCCTTCACGAGAGGTTGGCCGTTGGTAACTCTACTATAGAATTAACCACAAGAGCTTTCACGAGAGGTTAGCCATTGGTTTACTTGACTTTGGAACGAACCACAAGAGCTTTCACGAGAGGTCAGCCGTTGGTTACTTGACTTTGAAGCAAACCACAAGAGCTTTCACGAGAGGTTAGCCACGGGTTTAAGTCACATTTAGTCAAACATTTCCAACTGCAATCCTAGAGCTTTCACGAGAGGTTAGCCGTGGATCATTTAAACTACCTTGCAGTTAGAAACTTAAAATCAGTTCGCTTTGCCTCAGAAGAACATGAAGCCATTCCAGTTGAAGCCGCTCACCATGGCATGGCACCGAAGCCAATCAACATGAGTTGGAAACTACTCCTATAGTCTCGCTCCAGTCAGTAAATATACTCCGGAGCAATTGCTACCTATGCTTATGGGAAATGGGACATTTCCTTAGCCAGCTATTCCATAGTGTTGCATGTTGGACAAAGCCATTCTTATCAAATGATTACACTTATTTTCCCTTTTCATAATTATTATAACCTAATTCCTCCCAATGTCTCAAATAAATGAGGAGGGGAGGAGGTGCCACTAAATAAAGATGGGATTGAGTGAGACGATAGGATTGTGAATATCAAATGACTCTAGGAGCAGTTACTGTTCGCAAATTAATTAACAAACCTATTAAAGATTTTAAGGATACAGCCAGACTGCTCTGTAAATTATTAACATGTGCCCCTGAATGAAGATCAGAACACAAATAGGTGTTCTAGCTATATATACAGTAATAAATAGTGCTTCAAGACAAGTTTATTGCAAGTAAAGCTATCAGAGAGTCTAAACTTGAATTGGAGAACATCCAAGAAAACCTTTTAGACTACCAACTTCATGCCAACCACATCAACAAACACTGTGTGATGTACAAACAATATGTGTGTGTGTGTGTGTGTGTGTGTGAGCAAAAACCAAAACTAAAGCGAACACATGATTACAAGAAAATCAACAAGGCCGATGCATCCTCTACAGAATTTCTAATTCTACCCACAGCACTGAGGTCCGGATCATCGCTAGTACAGGTAGATCACATTACCTTTCTGAACAATAGAGTTCTGCTTTAGGTTTCCCAACCATACTTAGTTGGATTAATAGGTATAAATTACCATCACTGATATTCCTGTTCAGACAAATATACCACAAAATACCCACATAGGTGTAAAAGCAAAATAATTTTACTTCTGAAGGAAAATTGTTAAAGCTAAGGTGCTGTACTGTACCATATATGTAGATAACTGACTAAGTGATTACTTGCCAGTTTATCTTCACATTCCAGAACAAATGGTCCTTCAGGCAATTAAATAATTAAGGACTATAATAAATTATGTTACTATTAATATAAACAATGGATCTAGAACCATTTCTAAAACTCCTCATATGTTGAAGTGTCTTCAGATGCATGATCAACTTAAGAATGCATTTTATTTAATATCAGTGAAGGAAAATGGTGAATGACAAACATTTGCGGTTCTTATTTGTCTTCCCAAAGAGTAACCTTATACATTGTATAGTATTGATTACACGAAATTATGTTGATGATATTCCTTAATTTTGCAGAACATAAGAAATGTCTAGACTATATTACTAATACAGAACCTTACAGAAGTATTCTTGTAAACTTGGTATAGTATTAAATATTATTTATACTGAAAAGGGTGATTCTTTCAGTATATAGGATTAATTTCTTACTCTAGACAACTCTATATAAGTGCCACTTAAAAAGGTGGATTTTATTACAAGTATAATGAAAATTGTATGACCTAAACAAAAAGTTGCAGATTTTTGATTCCGTTCAACTTTAAAGTTAACATTGTTTGCTCGCCCAGCTATGGAATTTGGCTGGCTCCATGTTAAAATTAGGTTAATAATTGAAATTGTAAGGCCAATATAATAACTATTAAGCGAATACGCACAACAAAATATTCACTGTAAACAATATTTACGTTTGTTTGACATGTTGACATTAAAACATCAGATGTCAAATACGTTCTGTTTTACCAAAAAGAACTTGAACACTTGTTATTTAAGTTAATCTAGAATAAATGTTTACACCTTAAAAGAAAATAAGGCCGGTAAAGAAATACCTAAATAAACTCAGATGTCCCATTCGCACGAGTTTAAATCAAAGTTTGCCTCCAAAACCACTTGGTGTATCACGCCAAAGATCTATAGGCAAACAAGTATAAGAGACTGAAATATATGTATCATGGGTTCCTGACCCTGATATCTTTACTGTTGTTTTCACTATTCAGTAAGTGCAGGAAGATTCTTTTTCCATGCCCTCCTTCTTTTCGGAATTTTAAAAGTCATAAAGAGAAAAAGGGGGGGGGGGTATATGCAAAGGTTATTAGGATCCATTATTGATACCCACGGTTCAACTCAAGTTTCTGAACCTCATTAAGTTCTAGTGTTATCTCTGGTTGTTTCCTTCCAGAAGTTCACCCACTTTACACAACATATACAATGTAGTCACCACCATATAATCAGGAATGAATTCCTAAGAAAAGGAATAGGTACTGCATTCTATGGGAATAATGCTAGCATCACATTGTAAAGTAAAACAAAACAGCAATACGACTTTGCTTTGACTTTTTCAGCATATGTATCCGTTGTGATTATTATATTTTTACTTCTAAATTTACCTATCATACAGTTTATTGAATACTATTAGATAGGTACTTCATTAGTCCTAGGTCCTCTTGTGTGAAATTATTAAGAAACTACCTACAAGATTTTTTAGAAGTGTATACAAATTAAGGCCAAAAAGAAAAAGAAACTTTAATATGTGGTGTGCGGTTCCAGTTTTATTCTAAAATAGGTACATAATTGTGTATTATTACAATTATTATTTAAAACCCTGAGGGTTACTGGTAGAATATGCCACTTGGAATCAAGTTCACCATGTACCGTAACTTTATTGTATTGTGTACATGACAATCTAAATAAATCAATATTATTATGTACCTGTATGTACTCCAATGATAATCTTAGCTTAAAACTTTAGTTTAAAACATCAATTAATTAGCACATATAATTCACACTATCTCTATCACTATAGATTGTACCTAAATGATAATGCCAATAAACCTGAACCATATTTAATAGTACCTACCTACCTACTATTTTTTATTTTTAAGAACAATTTTTAAATCATTGTTCTGGGATCAATCATATTCTACAATTTCAAGTGAATGTATGTCTAGTACTATAACAGTGGACTCTCAACCTCTTCTAAAGCCTCACAGAGATGTATCAATCAGTATCAAAGTCATATATTTAAGTAAGACGACTGCCTGGTCAGTCAATCCATTTTTCCACCAACAATCCTAATATTGCATGAGCTTATTAGCTCTGTATATCACTATGTATGGAGTCATGATCATAATGTAGATCTACTGAAAATGGAGAAGTTAGATAATATATATACAAAAAAAAAAAAAAAAAAAAAAAAGAAACTGATAATTTTGAAGAAAACAACCTATTGAAAGACGTTAAATTTTCGCAATAGACTGAATTTGAACAACGTTATAGTTCAAAACGTACATAGTAGGTGTACCTATAGTTGGTGTAGTGGACACCAGAATTTCAAGATAATAATATTGTTGCTATGCTTACTAAATAATTAAATTAATAAATAAGGACATTTAATTATTTTTCCATCACAATACATAATGATGTAGATCTTAATATTAATCTTATAATATTGACATAAGCTTGTTTCTTCTCTTCACTTCACTTTGGTTCTACATAGGGTTAATGCAGTTTACCTGACAATACAATGATGAAAGTCAGGAACCCAAACTAAGATAACCCGTGCTTTGGGCTTCTGTTTATTTTTAATACTATTTTTAAAATGTATTTAATTTTATAAGTATTTTTATTTGATAAAAATGATTGAAAACAATACCATAACCATAAGTAGCTATTATATCTAATAATGGTTTAGTGGCTTACATCTTGGGGAAATTATAAACGTAATTTGATTATTGCTTAAGTTTTTACTAGTACTATATAGTACTCGTGAGATATTGATGTTATTGACAATGTCATATATCTTGTTTAAGTGCAACAATGTTCAATGATTAAACAGTGTTGTTTGTCAACACAACTCCTTCTTTGAACGTCTACTAGTATAATTAGCGAGGATGACGCTACCTATACAATTAAATAGATCGGACTAACTTACCTGTGACGTCCGATCCTCAATTGTGTAGGTAGCGTCATCCTCGCTAGGTCCCAACCCTTCCCGGATAATAAACATGTTTATTTTTACCCCTGGTCGAGTTGTGTTGCAGTTGCAGGTGCTTTGAAGTAAATGATGTTGCCAGTGAGATGACCATAGAGTATAAATATTTTTTTTATGAATGTGTTCATCTTTAAATATTGTGACAGCGTGCCCAGATTAGTGCCTACTACTAGTATAATTAGCGAGGATGACGCTACCTACACAATTGAGGATCGGACGTCACAGGTAAGTTAGTCCGATCTATTTAATTGTTCCATTCTATCTTCTGTCCTCAATGTTTGAGATTGATAGATTGTAGGTTTTGGCAGCGTCTATACTCCCGGTGATTCTTCGCACTGACACTGCCATGTGCCATACTTAACTGCTGCCTCTGCTGGGGGTCGCAGCGCCGCTGGGAACTCGGGGCCATTCTTTTGTGCGTTCATAATACTGAAAGGGTTTAGGCGAGTTAACCCACCCGCTTGCATAAGACGTCTTGATGGGTGAGAAGTACTCCCATCTGACTCGGATTTTGGATGCTACCGTTGGTCTTGTATGACTCGTCTGCTACCATCCTTAGGTTAAATCATTCCTCTCTGATTACAATCCAGACCAAACAGCCGTTCTACGCCTCTGTGGTCCCTCCTATTTCTCGTCCGTTTGTTGACCTCACTTCCCACTGGTATTTGCGCCACAATCTTCCGTAAGGTTGCTTGTAAAGTAACAGGGGCTACCGCGTGAAGGTGAAAGTGGAGTTGGGGTGCAGAGGCTGGAGAACTTGGCTTGAAGAAATTCCTGTATTGCGCGTGACCCCTCAGGCCCCCTATAAAGGTGCCATGTATAAATTATTTTAATCGATTCTGGGTTTTTGCTCCGTACATTTTAGGGGAACAATGTCCAACCTTTTTTGTATTGTCATCGCAAATACATAATATGTACCGGGACGATAGGGGATATCAGCACTATTCAGGTTATTAATACGAGCAAGTTGTGTCGTTGTGTTTGTGGACAGTTGGTATATTGAGTCGTCCCCCCCAGATGCTCCGCGAGACCCTGGCCGCCGGCGTGGCCTACCTGCACGAGGGCGTGGAGCCGGCCGACCGGCGCCTGGTGCAGCAGCTGCTGGAGTCGGGCGCGGTGTCGCTGTGCGTGGTGGCCGCCGAGCTGGCCTGGGGGCTGGCCGCGCACGTCCACACCGTCATCATCGCCGACACCCACGTGTTAGTGGACTTACTTATATACGTACATGTAGGCCGCGGGTACAGCTTAGACTAATGATGATTAGAGAATCGGGCAAGTGCAGGTAGTAGGTATAACAAAGCATGCGAACATGATGAATAACGCATTTCATTATGAAACTTAATCACTGTAGGGAATCCTTGTAAGAGCTAACAACATAACATGCGTTACGCTGTTACGCAGCCATGCCTTGACAATAGTTTTGGCTTCGAATGGGGGGTATGGCGGGTAGTAATGGTTGTTTTAATAAACAAACGTGCAATGTCCGGCCAGCTACAACGGCAAGCTGCACGCGTACGAGCAGTACCCGGTGACGACGGTGCTGCAGATGATCGGCCGCGCCTGCAGGCCGCTGGACGACGAGCACGCCGTCGTCGTGCTCATGTGTGTCGCGCACCACAAGACATTCTTCACCAAGCTGCTCAACGACTGCCTGCCGCTCGAGGTACGCTGGACTACTCCTGGCTTAGAGCCATTATACATATTATATCATACATATTATATTTTT